CAGGCAAAGTCCACCAGCACCCACTGGTTTGGAAAGCTGTTCCTGGGTGCTGCGCTTTAAAATACACTTAGCGGTGCCTGGCTGCTCGGGTACTCGTCGTCATCCCTAAAGAGCATCTTCAGCGGGGAAGCCAGGAGGTGGTAGGTCAGCCTGAAGTGCCTAAATAAGTAACCCATAAACAGACACCAGACGATGCATAGTGTCAAACCTGATCCTGAGCAAAATTCCCACTGCAGGCAACAGGAACATGACCCGAGGAAAGGCTCATCTTCTAAATTCAGGATCTGGGCTACACCAAAGGTGCCAACACCATTACTTCTACCAGAACATTCAGCATCGCTGATGAAAACCAGCAACCACTCAGGGGAAGGGGGGAGCAGTTTTATTATTCACAAAGTGAAAAACGATTCTTTCTCAAGCCATTACTGTTGCCAGCTGAAAATACCTGTTCTTTGTGTGGCTTTAACACATTTGTTTCTGGCTCAGTTGTCACCTCTTCTTATTAAATGAGGCTACAAGGCACATTTGGCCTTCCCTGGGATGGGCTCAGTCCCCCTGCCTTTGCTTACGTGCAAGCAACTCCCCTGGCTTCTATCGCTGTGGAGAGGTGCGCACCAACGACACGGCACACACAGGGTAACAGTGTCAGGGGGAGTGGAATTTTCATCCACTAATTCTACAGATGCGTAAACCTACAAATAATTGGCTTGTTACGATCCAAGCTGTCCGGTACTTACACCTACTCAGTTCTTAACAGTCGTGCAGCAGCAGAATATATTCCAGCACCTTAGAAATGACTCTCAGCTATCCTGGCCAAAAGAATGACTGCCGCTCACGGCAGCCAGAAACTGCTTGCGGGCAGAAAAGTAGTACCTTAGCAGGTTACACAGCGTGAATAAAGTTGGGTTTTTTTCAGCTATGTAATACCTAAAAGCCTTCCCCTAAGGAGTAAATTCTTAGCAGGCTAACTCATGTGGCTTTCCAAAGGTATGTAGGAGCCACCGTAAAAATTCACAGGGACATGAGAAATTTTCTTTTTATGAAGCACAAAGTTAAAGTATAACTGTACAATGCAGTAACTTTTAATGTCATAAAAAAGATTTTTAAAAAGTCTAGTATTCAATAATTGCACAAAATTATATAAAAACTATAAAAAGGTGTGTTTAATGCCTTGATTCACAGTAAGGAGAAGTATTCTTATCTCTGCCCCCACTATTTCACTTGATCAGCTTTCTCTGCACAATTGTAGAAATCAGTTCACTGACTTGAATACAGCAATCCATTCAGCAAAACAGGTTTCAGAATAATCCATCAACAGAGCTAAAAAAGAAAATATTAAAAAGTGGTTTGGTTGAGAGACCAGGCACTCACAACTTCCTGTACTACAAACTAAGTTCTCGTTTGAGTAACAGAAAATATTACCTTTTAGCTGTTACAGAATAATAATTCAAACTGCAAAATGAAATAGCTACTTTTCCTGCTGTATCTGAACAGTCATTTTTGTTTCGCTGTGTATAATCCAACCTGAACCAAACCTGGAGAGATCAGAGAAATATTTGTTAAAAATGAGTGTGACATATTTTCAGCATTCAGGCATATACTCACAGAATGTTAAAAAAAAGAAAAAGACAAGTTCTGTATATGTTGAGTCCAGAAATAAAAGTTGGACAATACTGATTGATGCGTTATAAAATATTAGTGGTTCTCATTTATTCATCTTCTTATGTATTCAGTATTTTGGTCCATATCTGAACCTGAGTCACTTTCATCAGAAGAATGAGAGGAATTTTCCCATTCACAGGAGCCATTATGACAGCGTGGCTTCTGCACACTTTCTGTGTCATCCAGGAGTTTTCCTTCAAAAGCACGAGAGCATTGCCAGTCAACCACGTCTTCTTGGGAAGAAAGAAGAGCTTCAGAACTATTCATGTTCTCTTCAGAGGTTCCCAGCAGCACAGTTTTTAAGTTAATGGTAAAGCAAGTACTGTTCCTTCGCCTAGAAGAATAGCCACAATCTACCTCAGAGAAAGGATTAAGTAATCCGCTACTTGTGTCTTTGTCGTCTTCTATGTCCACCTCACGCTCTTCAAAATCTTCTGGGTCAGTGTCTGGATTTTCACTTGCCTGGCTGCTGCTGTCGTCACACGTACTGTTTGTAGAGTACTGCACAAATACATTCGAAGCATCAGAGGAATGAGGTACTCTACTTATGATATCACGCCTTGTATAGTCATGATTACTTATGGCATCGCTGTCACTGTCATCGCTGTCATCTTCATCACTGACACCACCACTGGATTCATTTGCCTTTTTTCTAACCTCTTTGTAAATGATCTCTACAGAGGCTATTTCTTCAGATTCAAGCCTCCAAGGTGAGTAGGATAACGTCCTGATGAATAACTGAAAGAGAAAGTGAATTAAAAACCAGCCAAATTTGCACACATGCACAGAAAAATATAACCCCAGTCACGAAGTTGTCCAACAAATTATTTATTTGGTGTCACATTTTTGGCCTTTTCTGCAGAGTTCTGGGCATCTAGGACTGTTCCCTCTTCTCCATGCCTGTAAACAGGACAGCCTTCACTACAAATCAAGGCACACAGCACTGGACAGGCTCAAAGAAACGACACTAGTGCCAAGCAGTGCCAGGTACAAAATGTTTTAATTCTAACCTATGAGGCAACTTTCTTAGACTAAAAGCTCATTTTAGAAATGCATCTTAAACCTGAGGTGAGTCTTGCAACTCTCTATTAGCTTTCGGTTCTAGAATCTCTCAAAAGGCCTTTAAACTCCAGCAACCAGGGACCTGGCTAAACTATCCTCCAGTCTTCAGGGAATGCTCTGATTTTTGGTGTAATGAATGGAAAAATATTATAGAGGGAATTGGTTCTGTTCTTACGACAGGTGCACAATGCTGCAGGGTGAAATAACAGAGGCAAAATGTGCCAGAAACTGCTTTGCTAAGGAGCAACGGACACATGCAGCTCCTGAATGTTTTCATAGCATCCTTCCTGGTGCGGAACAGGACTTCTCCTTACGCACTTCACCGAAGAACTGGAGCAGGTTTTTTGATTTGGAGTTATGGCCCTGACTCAGATAGCAGAATAAATTTGTCTGCTGCAGGAAGGATTTACATATAAGGTAATTTTCAAAGGGCAAGGGGTTAATTGTCCTACGCTAGGTGCTCTGCTGCAGGACCTAACCTGCTTTTGTGTACCGTAGAGAGTTCATTTAAAGCTACTTTGGCAGGGGAGGTCTCCCCTTCACTACTGCTTGCTCCCTCTAACTCCACAGAATCATAGAACAGCCCAGGCTGGAAGAAACTTCGAAAGACCATCTGGTCCAACCTCTTGTGGGAGAGGAAGCCTGGATGAGATTATCTAGCTTCCTGTCCAGTCACGTATTGAAAACCTCCAGTGATGGGGACTCTACTGTATCCTTGGGGAGGTCGTTCCAGTGATTGATAGTTCCCACTGCAAAAAAAGACGAAACCTCCCATGGTGCAACTTGTACCCACTGCCCCTTGTCTTGAGAGCTTCTGTCCTGTTTGTAGCTACTTTTTAAGTACGGAAATACTGTAACGAGGTACCCTCTGAGCCTTCTCTCCTCCAGGCAGAAAAGTCCTAACTCCCTTCAGTCTTTCCTTACAGGGCAGGTTCTCCAGCCTTTTGCTCATCTTCGTGGCCCTCATCTGGACCCTCTCCAGCTTGTTCGCATCTTTCTTGCGCTGTGAGGACTAGAACTGGACACAATAGTGCAGGTGCTGCCTGACAAGTGCTGAGTAGGGTGGGATGATCACATCTCTATCTCTGTTAGTAACTTGTCACAGAAGTAGCAAGAAATGGTTTTGAAAAAGACTGAATATTTGTTCCACAGAACAGAGACGATTTAGCAGCCTATAGACTGTCTTTGGCACAGGTAAACTGCAAATTAAAACATTATATGCGCTTACATAATTTGTACCTAATGCACAGGATTAGAAATTTCAGATGGTAAACCTCTTCCTCCCAACCAGGAAGGTTACATATGAGAATTAATACATACCAAGATATGTGGAAGTGATTTATTTTGAAGAATACAACCTCCTGCATGCAAACACTTCAGAGCACCAGCTAAAATCAGTGAAAGACATACAGCACCTGTGATTGCAACTGTATGATAATCTGTAAGTGAAAAAAACCAAACAAATAAACAAAAAAATGAGGTTTCCAATGACTACAATTCATATTTCACATTCAGAACAGCTGTTTAGAATCACAGACTAATTTTGGTTAAAAGGGACCTCTGGAGGTCATCTGGTCCAAAGTCAAAACAAGACCAAATCTCAAATTTGATTCAGGAATTAAAAAAGAAATTACACCATCTTTGATAACTATGCATGCAGTTAGTGGGGATTTGTATGGCTCATGGTATTAACAATAGATTTGTAACCCCGAAGTGGATAGGCTTTTATATTTCACTTAAAAATCCCCACAACGTTTATCAGTCAGAAGGTACTTTCTCTCCTATTATTTTTAGGATTAACTGACTTGCAGATCTTCCTATGTAAAAAGAAAACACTTGCACGTAATCAAGTCAGACAATCCGTTCCTGCACCACAGCACAGTTACCTTGTTGAGCTACAGCTACAGAGTCTGCAGCTATACATTTCCAGGCTGACGGGATGGAATGTTTGTTCAGAGATGCAGTGACCATAACAGACACACAGTAATTTCTATTTGGATACAATTCGTCAATGACGATACTAAAAATTTCTTCAGTGGTTTTCTCACGTGGTCCCTGCCATGAAAGACAATGTTTTAAAATTTAGCTACTTGCCTAAAAGGAGATCCCCAGCCACTGATAAAACAGTATGGCTATTTCAGAAAAATACAGTAACATCTGAAACCGCAAAAACTGACAAAGTAACTCAGCAGTTTACCTAGACAACAGCTTCAGCTCTAGTTCTAGCTGATGTCAACATGCCTACCTTATGCCTGTTTGTGAAACACCATATTATCAAACATAAATTGCCTTCTGTCGGCTGGTCACTTACATATAAAATATCCATTGCAGGGAAGTTGTGGTCCTTCTTCTGTGACTCACAGCAGAATGAACTAGACAGATTAAATTCCCAAAGGTACCTGTCTGATCTGCTGTTCAAAACTTTCAATACAGGCAGTCCATATTTTAGTTAGGCAACTAATCCCCTGCTTTGCCAGCCCAGGTATCAATGTCTCTCTTGATGTTTATCCTAAAGTCTGGAAAACTGCCAGTTTTCACTTCACTGTTTTTGGTCACAGTCAGACTGAATCATTTGTTTCCTCCTTTTCTGTAGTAAATACTTACATACTCAGAGACTCTGGCCGCTAACTGTGCTTTGCTTGCTTACAGTAAGTGGTCCCATATTATTCCAGCATTTCCTTACAGGTCATGTGTCAACATCCCCCACAGTCCTCACTGTTCCTTTTTGGATCCTGCTCAACTGATCCATGCCTTTTCTGACCCAGACTGGTCCAGGGTAGGTAGGCTTTACAAGTACAGAGTTCATAAAAATACGGGGTTTTTTTATCTATCAGCAACACGTGAATCACGTTTAGCTTGTAATATTATAGAATGCTGTCATCCTTTCTGGCAAAACTGCTGCCTGTGTAGCTGTTACCACTCTACTTATTACACAGACAATTATTCCTAAGTGTTATGCCTCACATAACATAATATGGTCCTTATGGAATTATGTCCTATTATTTTCAGATTATTTCTCCACTTTGTGAGGATCATTTTAAGTTCCAATCATGCCTATCTACCTCTCTACTTCAGCAAAAAAAGAAATAGTACAAGACCCAGCACAGGTTGTTTCAGAAACTAACTGGATACATATTTCCAGTTTGACAGAAAACTACCGAACTGCTTTCTGAACGTATTTTCCTACCAGCTGTGCATACACCTGCTAGTAGTTTCTGCTAAAGTGTCTTTTCCTTGTCTTCCCAGAGATTCACTTGAGCCAGTGCCCTGCGCTTTATTTCAAGTAAGGATACAGGACAACTTGTATTCCTAAGTCTGCTACTCTGCAGTAAAAGGAAGCTAAGATTATGTTGACCAGTCTCTTTGTTTTAAGTATCTTCTGTTCACGTATTTGCTTCTTTCAATCTGCTAACCATCAGAGCCATTTTATCCTTTCTATATTTCTCCCCTAAAGCACAAATAAAACAAAAATTTCTTTACCTTATGCTCACCATCAAGTGTTTTCAGTGTTACACCATAATCAAGCTCACTATATATATCAATTAAAGACAGTAGCTTTTCATTTTCTCTGAAGTGAGAGGTTGGCAGCTTTATGGTGACATTTATGCAGTTTTGACAGGAACTGATATTAACTTCTGGTGGTCCCAAGAATGCTATTGAAAAAAAAAGAAAGAGGAAAACAAAAAGATGGAAAAAATACACTCTATGTATTCAGTACCAATTCTGTTTCAGTGATGGATATATAGCTGACTAATAATAATAATGAATATTTAGAGTTTGCATTTCACTTTTGTCTTTTCCAGAAGCATGTGCATTTTGATCAAGGTGGGGACTGGTTTGCCAACCTCTGTAAAATTCAAAAGCGCAATATACATTTGCTAACTACTTCTGTTCCTGAAATAGGGTAGAAAAATACAAATAAAGGCTAATACTTAGAACAAATGTGACCTTTCATCTGCTCTCAAACAGGAAAGCATGTCCTAATCAAACGCACACTTACTTCTTTCTCAACTTTTGTTTTATGTTACAAATAAACATTAGCTTAAGTCTGGTTACAGTCAAATGTGGTTGTTGTCCTGGCTCTCTGCTACAAAGCCTTTCTGTCTTTGCTCAAATCCATCTGTCAACAAGACTGAGACTCCACCATAGGTATTTGAAGGTAGGTATCAACTACATCTAGCAGGGAAATTAACTCTTTCCTATCCGGGCACTGCAAAACAAGAAAAGACTACAGGGTTCATCTAAGTCTTGTGCCCTGGAAAACACAACTTCACTCAATTGCTTATCATTTGAACCACAGAACTACTAGCAAAACATCTGATTTCAATTTACAAGTTGCCAGTGATGGACAATCAGTCAAAGCACCTGACAGTTCGTTCCAGTGGTCAATTCAAAACATGCCCCTTGTTCCTAGCTAGAATTTATCTAGCTTCAGCTTCCCGTCAGGGCACGCCGCTATGCTTTGTTTGCAAGACTGAAGCAGCCTGCCATCATATTAACTAGTGGTCAAAGCACCTTCTCTTTATTAAACTAACTGCTGAAAGACTGAAGGCCTCCACCTCAGACAGATGTTCTCAAATTCCTTCAGTTATCCTTATGACTGTTCTTCCCATTCCCTCCAATTTTTCCTCATTTCTGAGACTATAAGTAGGCATGGCAGCGGCTACTTCTGTGCCAAGTCAGCGGTAACATGACCTATTTCTACTCCATAGTCCTCCAATTGTTCCTCCATCTCCACCTCTGTTACTTCAGAACTGAACACTAAGCAGAACAAAGGGTGAAGCCACCTCTGGCATTAGATGTCACAGCTAATAAGCATCTTCTTTGAGCAAGGAAAGGGAAAACAGCAGGCTGATGAACAAACAACTAAATCCCCTACACCTAGCGCAGACATGGTATTTCTTTAACTCTTAACATTGACTACTTGAAGACATTAGAACAATGTTGGTTTTTAAAGTTCGAGTTTTTTACTTCGTGCTTGCCAATACTCAACATGACACTATTTCCTCTATTTATATTTTGTTTCAAAACCAGAGCCTCATCCATTTATCAGAACTACTACCCACTAATTTTAGAAAGCTATCTATATATTCTATGTCTTGTAACTGGTAGGTGATAGATAATATACAAATTCATGTTCTCTTAGATAAAGGAATAAGCTACTGACCAAGTTAGTTTGGAGTATCTTACTGTAAGGCTAGCAGAATACCATTTACACATCAGCTACAAATAAAAACCAATAAAAATGAGCAAATGCAGACAGAGAACTTACTGTCAGTAAGGGGCACAAAACGAAGTATAGAAGAATTCAATACTTCAGTTCCTATGAAGCTCTGAACCAATGCAGAATACTCTGTTGAAATGTCCTTAAAATCATCTGTCAGATTACAGGAGAGTCGTGTAATATCTGAACATTGCTCAGCAGTCTTCCAGTTCCTGTAAATCAAAACAAATTAAAAAAAAGATCAAAACAATCTATCTGGATTCTCTGATACAAGAAACCATTGCAGGGGTGGAGAGGGAAAGCATTTCTGAGTGGAAAAACAGTTACAAACAAACAAGAAAACCACTTGCCTGTGGTCAGTGTACAGCACACGATAGTATGTTGGCACAGTTGGATCGCTTGCCTGCCAGGACAAAATGTGCTGAAAATTGTAAGATTCCATTTGTAGGTTGCGAGGTGGCCCTCCCAGAAATCTTTCTAGAAAGCAAAAAAAACCCAAAACAAACAACCCACCAATATGAATGGCAAACAAACGTGAGATTGCAACAATTCTAGTAAATAAATCCACTTAGAACAGCCCAATATTTGCCCCCCAATAAAGCAACCATAGAACAGAGTTCAGCACAACAGACACAACGATGCAAAGGACTGTCCTCCTGGAACATATTTCTATTTTTAATTCACAAAGCATGAAGTTTAAAAAGGACACTTAGAGAGTATGCAAGGTTTTTGAACTGTGTTAGGAAAAGCATTTGAAAGACAATAAAAACTCTTACCAGGCAAGCCGCAACAAGCTGCAGACAGAACGCCGATGCACACTGGAAAATGACACTATGTATTAATGCATTTGCAGGTCTACAACATCTGATTATTAGCTTACTATTGCCAATATTAATCTGCAACAATTAGAGACGATACTCAGTATTCCCTCAGTGGAGCTTTTTCTTTCTTTCACATCATCTTCCTACTATTTTCCTCTACTCTTCCCTCCTTCCCTGGAGTATGGGATGTCCCCTTCTAACCTCTGTCATTAATTTGAGGCTCTTAAGAGCTAGTTCTTTGATAACTACACTGTGGTTCAGGCTTATGCTGATCCCTGCCAGACAAGGTTCAAGACTCAGTGTGAATAAACATACTTAAGACAGTCTTATCAAATATTGTCTTAGAGGATTCTGGCTATATTTCAGGTAGCTCACTCTGTCTGTTAAAGATCATTTTAAGTCATGACAAGAATTTTAAAACTGCTCTGGGAAAAGATACTACGAGTGCTTGAAGAACATTACTGAATCATCTTCACAGATGTCCTTCTTTGCTAAACAGGTGTCACGGTTTAAGCCCACCCAGACGGCAGCTAAACACCATGCACTCGCTTGCTCACTCACTCCTACCCCCCCACCCCCCCCTCCCGAGTTGGGATGGGGAGGAGAAAAATACAGCAAAAGGCTTGAGGGTGGAGACGAGGACAGGGAGGGCTCACTCACCAATTATGGTCACAAGCAAAAGACAGACTTGACTTGGGGGAAAAAAAAAAAAAATCAATTTAATTTAAACACTATCAAATCACAGTAGGACAATGAGAAAAAACCAATCGCACCTTAAAAACACCTTCCCCACCTCCCCCTCCCTTCTTCCTGGGCTCAGCTCTGCTCCTGATTTCTCTACGTCATCTCCCACAGCAGCACAAGGCGCAGCTAACATTGTTTCTGCTGCTCCTTCCTCCTCAGGGGTAGTCTTCCCCTGCTCCAACGTGGGGTTCCTCCCACGGGAGACAGTCCTCCATGACTTCTCCAACGTGAGTCCTTCCCACGGGCTGCAGCTCTTCACGAACTGCTCCAGCGCGGGTCCCTTCCGCAAGGTGCAGTCCTTCAGGAACAGACTGCTCCAGCGTGGGCTTCCCTCCAAGTCACAGCCTCCTTTGGGTGCAGTCACCTGCTCTAGCATGGGGTCCTCCATGGGCTGTGGGTGGGCATCTGCTCCGCTGTTAACCTCCACGGGCTGCAGGGGGTCAGTCTATGGTCTCACCACAGGCTGCAGGGGAATCTCTGCTCCGGCGCACCTCCTCCTCCTCCTTCTTCACTGACCTTGGTGTCCACGTAGGATTTTCTCTCACATCCCACTCTTCTCTTCCACTCCCAAACAAAGACTCGTCCAACAGGTTTTTCTCCTCCTAAGTATGTTATCGCAGAGGTGCTGACTGGCTTGGCCTGGGCCAGAGGTGAGTCCGACTTAGAGCCGCAGGAGCTTCGGGAAGCCTCTTACAGGAGCCACCCCTGTAGCCCCTCCCCCGCTACCAAAACCCCACCAGACACAAACCCACGATGATGTGGGGAGTCCTCAAGGCTGTAGTTCAACAACTTTGGTATATTACTCACTGTCTTCAGTCAGCTAACTCCTGTAATTCCCTATTTCAGGCTCTGTTTCGTAACTCTCTCTCTATTTTGTGTCCTGTTTCTGTAACACTTCCCTGGGGGAGTTTAACTCTACAGCAGGCTATTCTCTGCCTGCAAAAGAAAACAAAAAAACACCAACAGATGCTGCAACACTTCTGCTGTCACAGGGCGCGATTAAGGCCACATTGTGCCTGTCAGCCAGGCCTACTGTCCAAGCAATCTCTCTAACCCAGCCTTCTTGCACTTCCTGACATTCCAGAGGTCCCCACATGTTCTTGTATAACCTCCATACAAGACTGTTTGTTCATCCAGATTCTCACTGTATCCAGAATTCTTTTCCCTGACTAACCCAGTCTTGCATCACTCATATCTCTTCAGCATGGTGCTTCAAGACACTCTTGAAATTACTGTTCTGACCCTTCTATTTTTTTTCCTCAAGATCGTTTAGCTCCCTTCTGCTTTCTGAGTGCAAATACAAGCATCCTGTCCTCATTTTAAATACATTTTGTGGCCTATCCTCCTACCGATCAGATGCTGTCTCCCATACTCAGTTGGCCAAAGAAGTTTCTAGTTTAATTCCAGACATGCATATTTTTTCTCATCCTTTAGACAAACTCCATGGAAGTATCTGCAAAATTACATCATTATTTTCCCTAAAACTCTTCTCCATGACCTCTCGTTTGTCTTGACACCTAAACCTTCTACCCAAAAATACAACAATACCCCAAACACCACTGGTCTGCTACTTCTGTTGAACTGTGCTGATCAACACTACCTTAACACACTCTTTTATTCTCCCCATCTCACTCAGAATGGTAACTTCCGTAGCATGAGGAATGTCTCTGACTTTGCATTTGTACAGCAACTAACACAGTAGCACTGTGGTCCACAACTCAGGTTCTCAGGTACCACACTCTGACAATACTATAACAGACCTCCTTGACATGTCAACAAGATGCACCACAGTAAGAATGGCAGTGAAAAGAAATCTGAGACATACCTCATAAAAAATTAAAACAATCTTTATGAAGATCTACAAATAATGGATAGGACAGGACTATCACAGAATAGTTGAGGTTAGAAAGGACCTCCGAATGTCATCTGATTTGACCCCCAACTATGTGAAACATGGTACCAGAATACATATTCCTGGTAAAGCAGAGGGGATTCAGAATAGCAGTGGGTCAGTGGGAACTGTCCTGTCCCAGACACACTGGGAGAATTTCCTAATGGATTAAATACAGTTATTTTATGATCCTTGCCTACTTTTGGAGAGTACTAGAAGAGGAAAGAAAAAATTCCTACTCAATTAATTAAAGAGCTATCTGCACAGAATCTTTATGGCTGCAGAGATGTGACTTAAAAATTTCTCTTTAATTATCAGAAGGCTCACACAAATACACTTGGGCACCTAAGATTGTTGAAATCCTTTGGGATGGATGCTTAGACAAGTATCTCTTGTAAATCTGGCTCTTTGGACATCTGTCTCACAAATATTAAACTATGCTCCCAGTATCCCTTCCGAAATCAGATGCAAAAAGATTAAGCAGCTCACTTGAGTTGCACATGCAGCAAATTTTTATTTCCACAAGACTGAAAACTCATCTCTCTCAAGCTTCATTTTGCCATTCAAACCACAGACATCCTCCCTCTTGTACATCTTCCTTTTGCACTTGTTCTTCTGTGTTACTACTGAGTAACAAACATCCCCTTAGACAAGTGCAGTTAAAAGTAGACCAATTGGTTTCTTGTCATATAGTAACAGATCACCTACCTGGAAAAAACATCCAGTGGGTATGAATAACAAAGCAATACTTTAAAAGCTACTACTCTGTACCTGAACCCAAACTTAGATTTGTAATAATTTGTGGCAGGAATCCTCTCACAGGCTGAGAGCCCTTAGCACCTTAAGGCTATTCCTATTATAGAGAAGATAGTGTCGCCAGCGCACAGACTCTAGCAATGACATGCTTCCTTGGAGCAAGCCCTTCGGATTAGGAGACGCAAACGCTCTTTTGCCATTGTTTCCTGTGTCAGACACCTCACCTGCGTCAGCTGTTCTGCTGATGTCTTTCCTGTTAACATAAATGTTTTTCTATTCTGTCCATATTTGTTATTTTTAAATGCCTCTCCCCTATCAAAATCAAATTCCGTTCATCTAGAGTTCAAACTGCCTCAGAACTCTGTTTCAACATACATGTTTTGCAAAGATAGCTGGAGAGTTGAAAAATTTTGTTGGTTACACTCTTACAAAAGGGACACAGACAAGAAAAAAAAAAACTTACACCAAATAACTGGGAAAATTAACACCAGAGAAATAAAGATGGTCTGTAAACTGAATGGGGAATCTTCTTCACCATCTTATCCTTTTTCCAGAATTAAATGATCCTATCAAAACAGTTTCTCACTACAACTACAGCTCAGCCAACAAACTGTGTTTGTTGTGCCTGTGAATCCAGAAACTAACGAGTCCTGAAAAAATTAGAATAAGAAATGAAAAACAACACATCTGACTAAGAGTTTGCTGGTCATTTAGAGAGGCAGAATACAGTATGCTGTTTAAAAGCATTTCTTTCTTATAGGGAAAAGCATGGTTTATGTATAGAACGGATGATAATAGACTAGATTCTTGATTCTGTGAATTATTCTATGGAAAGCTGTATAATAAGATGATGGAATCTCACTTCAGTAACTCAGAAAGATCATTAGTGAAAAATTAGCAGTACTACTCCTCTTATAATACAAAGGTACAGGCTACTTACCAAGTTGATAAAAATGCATTGGTCCATCCATCAGTGTTTCCATAGTGATTAAGAAATATAACCTACTGACCGTAAAATAAACATTTTGCTTCTTTACCTGCAAATACATTCAAAACAATCACATTCAGCAAATCATCTTACTAAGTTACTTGCAAGCAAAACGAGGTCTACATACAAAGAATTATTTTAACCTCTTCAATGTTCGGGGGGAGGCAGTGGTACCAAAATCGTTACTGCTAAGGGGGGGTGGGGAGGGGACAAGGTTCCTCAGCTTAAACAGGCAATTTCATGACAATAGCATTCTCCTTTTTTCACATGGAAAGAGCTCTTACTGTTTCAAATATGGAAAGCATTGTATTATTATTTGTATTAATTTTGCATGAAGATAGCATCTGAAAATTCTATGCCACTCACTCCAACTTATTAAATATAGGGAAAATAAACATTGTTTGGCTTTATTTGAAATCTTACAAGAACTCATTACTGTTGTAAAAAATGTTTCCAGAAAGCAGGTAGGTCAAGAGGGAGGTTAAAAATTTTTTTAAATAAAATTACTAATTATAAGGCAGTTAGGAAATTTATGGTATAATTTTTAATACATAAGATCTATTAATATATTCCCTCTCCTCGATGTTATTGTTTTACTCTATGTATTACCCTCATAGCACTAATATTCACAGGATCTGGTTTTGAATTACAGGCAAAGTACTGAGGAACAACTGTGAATCTACAGACGGCTGGGCAAGGGTATAACTAGTTCCATAGAATTGTCTCCTCAGGTTTAATACAAATAAATTGGGTTTTAATTTAAAAGCATTTTTAAACACAACCTGAATTATTTTTTCTGCAAAACAAAAACAGCTTAAAATTTAAAATCGTGACAAAGCATACTATGGTCAAACTTAACACAGTATGTTAAAACCAGATGAATTAAAAATCCCTTATCTGAGACGTCAATCTTCCTCCGCTCAAAGTTTTAGCGTAACTATGGGAAGCCACTGGGTAAGTGTTGAAAACCTGTATCTGTGCAACTGACAATCATAATTCCATGGACAAAAAGAATGTTTTCATTTCAGTTTGGTTCATTTTATTAACTCATTCAAGCACGAGGAATATTTAGGAGGTATCAAATACCAGTCTTCCTCTTTTCAAACAAAATTAAAACTGATGGATAAGAAGATTTACTAGTTACAAAATCTTTACGTTTACCACTGCTATCAGCAAACTAGAAAGCAATTAAGCCACATATCTATCAAGTCCATTTAGTTTTGGCACTAGTGAATGTGACAGAAGATAAAATAATTTGACTTTCTTATTCAGATCAAGCTTACAGATTAAACAAGCAGGAAAAAAAAAAAAAAATCTTTCTACTTCAACAAGGTTACCAGTTTTGTTCCGAAGTCACACAGAAACCTAATGCCAAACAAAGTTACTTTCACAGCCACTTTAAATAACAGTTACACCTGCGGGATCTGATTTTTCACGCTGTTCAAAAGTTTCTCTTGAGGGGAAAAGTCTGAGGATTCTGAATTCACTTAGCAAAATATTTCCTTTATGTCTCAATCCTTGCAGTTAATCACAAAACATGTTCACAGCACTCCATATATAGCATTATGCAATAGGTGTGTTTGCATACCTTTGATCCTTGCTGTACATGCTGTCATGAACAACAGCTATCCCACTCTTGGAATCTGAAGTGACTCGTATATGGCTCTGTATGCTGAACAATGCATGTATCTTACATGATGCATATCCAAAGTTAAGTTGTGTGTTTAGCACCTTAGCATACGTAAGAAAAATATGACAAAACAGGTTTATCTCAGAGTTTGCATAGTTGTCTAAAACTGGATGTCCTCTGCAGATCTATCAATGGCAGCAAAATTTCAGGGTAAATTCCAGGAGAAAGCCATTTCTGCCAGAACTCTCGTTAGCTTTTGTTACTCTTCCTCTTCAGAGCTTCAATCCCTGGAGAGAAATGATGGAAATACTAGTGAGTCCATATCCCACCCACCTCATCACCCTGGGCTCACAGTAACTCCCTTGGGAGCTGCCTGAAGCCCCCAGCTATCAAAACTCAGCTTCCCACTTCCACATCCTCTTCAGTAGCATCTCATTTGTAACTGGAGTTCAGGCTAGGCTGTTTTGTATTTGCTTCCAATGAGAAAGAAAAGCAGGCTTCAAAGTTTTGAAAGTCATTGGGTTGTATTTCAGAAAAGCACCACATCAGTAAAGCAGAAAACACACCCTATTCTTTGAAACAAGCAGATGGTATATTTATTTATAGAAATCTACTTATTGAGATACGAGAGACAGACAGACACCACAGGAGATGTTTCAGGCAGAGAAGTCAGCAGAAGAATGTTCTAAAACCACAAGTAACATAACATACGGATCAACTTTACTACTGAAACCACGGGAACTAGGGAATTGCGCTGCGGGTTATAACGTTACACCCACCCTCCATTCCTGGCTTCGCTAGGAACTCTGGATAAGTTGCTTCTAAGGCTATGGAAATCATTTAACGTCAATAACCCAAGGCCATTAACCAGAAACCCGCTTTCCACACACTACCACCAGTGAGCCGGACGTGGCCCTCCAGGAGCCAGCGTGGGACATGCGGCACCAACACCTACCAAGCGACCCCTCGGCCGCCCTGGGCCGCTCCAGCACGGCGGGGCGGGCAACGGAACAGCCCTTGCGACAAGCAGCTCCGTCAGAGCCCACCGTGTGGCATTTCTCCTCCCTAATTTTCTGAGCTACACAATGACCCGTTTCAATACCAGCTGCAACGCCCCTCACGCACTACCGCTAAGGTCAGGTTTGGCATTCAGTGACACCGCCGGAGAAACAATCCCAAACACCCGCTGTTTTTATGGGCGATTCGGCTGGTGCTACGTCAAAACATGCCTGCGGGGACACGGATTTCGTCCAACCGCGGCCTCCACAACGCGCCCGGCGAAGCGCTAACAGAAACCAAAGGCCTT